CCTGTTACATACATTTTAACAAAACCATTATACCCTGATTTCCCATTTTCAATGGGTTCAGGGTATAAAAAGGGAAAACAAGAAAATCATTTCAAGTAAAACTTCTGACAGAGAAACGCTCGGGCCAGAGTTGCTTAAGCTCACAATGGCCATATTACGGCGAGTGCAAAGGAGACACTTGAAACACAAATAGTTTAAGCTCAAGGTTAAACTGAGGATTAACGCACTCCGTAAAGATGTGGAGAGTGGCAAAAGAAGTCGAAAGGAGGCGAGTGGAGGCGAGTCGAGGCGAGTCCAGGCAGCGCATTAAGCTGGCTCAATGGGCGCAGCTGCGTTTAAGGCTCACAAACTGCCTCACTTTTAACCGTTTTATGGCGCACTCTTCGAGCTGCCACACGCAGCACTGGCAATTCCCCAGGCGGACAGACGGACAGACGGACGGACGGCTGGCTCTGCCCGTTGTCATTTAAGAGCTGCAGCCGACGCCGCCCCAAACAGAGACTATAAATGAGTGCAGCTCCCGACGAGGCGCTCGTTAAAAATGCCTGACCAGCGCAGCAGACACAGCTCCACACATTCCCAGACCGGACCGCGGGCCAGACACAGTCGAGAGCTGCTAGAGCTGGGTCCTGGGCTCGAGCCAATCGAACCTGAACTGAAGCGAACTGAAGCTGCATGTAATCCAATTATAATAGAGCAAGGGAACTTTTGCACCTGCCCGGGCACCTTGCTGAGCGGACTCTAAAATAAAAATTGATTACATGCGTGTGTGTGTGCATGTGTGTGTGTGTGTGTGTGTGTGTGTGTGTGTGTGTGTGTGTCTTGGATGCAATGAATAAATTTCGAACTTGTTTGTTTTGCAGGCGACCGTTTAAAAATTTATGAACTGCAGCGCTGAGCGATCAAAATGCATCAAAATCCGCCAAAGAGAGAGAGAGAGAGAGGACTAGTTCCAGTGGGCAGCTCCAAATTGGTGCAGTTGCTCGTCGCGCTTGACGGTGCTACTCGCTGAATATTAAACAGGCAGCAAGGCTGGCAGCTCCCAGTGGCGGCACTTCATCAGCCCAAGTCGTGCTAAAAAATTGATTGATCCTTGAGGTGCAACCATTGCGAGGGGTGGGGCAGGCAGAGCCGAGGCATCAGGAGCCTGTGGAGCGAAGGCTGGAACTTTGACGACATCATCTCGAGCAGAAGGCAAAGGGGCGGGCGTGGCTGTCAACGGCTCAGCACACAAAGACATGCACACATATTTAAACAGTTTTAAAGCTATGGTACAGTGGCTCGAAAGTATATGAACTATGCAAAGATAAACACATTATCTATTACATATTTATTTATTTTATATATGTTTCAAATTAACTTTCTAATCTACAGATAATCCAATTCCCTATATAAAATTCTTCTATATAAAATAAAATAATTAAATTAAAGCACATCACTGTGCTTGGCAGATCAACCACTGTGGTGTCAATTTTATATTTTTAAATAATTTTTTATGCATTTTGTACCACTGTACTTGGCAGATCACCAGCTCTGGAGTGAATTCCCTATATGTAATAAATTTTTTATGCAATTCGTACCACTGTGCTTGTAACAATCTTAGTTGTCTAATTCAATTTACCTATATACCTGAGTTGTTATCCATTTTGCACCACTGTGCTTGCATTTTTTTTCTCAATTTCCTATGCAATTCGTACCACTGTGCTTGTAACAATATTCGTTCTCTAGTTGAATTTACTTATATACCTAATTCTCTATCCATTTTGCACCACTGTACTTGGCAGATCACCAGCTCTGCAATGAATTTCCCATTTTCAATCAATTTTCTATGCATTACGTACCACTGTGCTCTGAATTAATACCTACTCCAGAGTTCATTTTCGTTTTCATCTAATTGTCCATTCATTTTACACCACTGTGCTGGACTCTCCATTGTTCTGGCCAACTTGTGTTAGCTTTAAATGCATGAAATTGTCAATGCCTTGACCAAGCTTTAAGCCTGCTGGCCATAAAATTGCTTTGGCGCAGACAAAAAAGGAGTCGCTCCCAACTAACCAGCCAGCCAGCCAGGCAGGCAGTCAGTCAGGCGAGGGGGCGGGGGCAGGCAGTCAACTCCGCCTCCTCGTTGGTCAGTCAGTCAGTCAGTCAGTCAACTCGAAAAACCGAATGAATGATGAATTGCCTGTCACTTGCAATTTTTGTAGCCAGACAAAACACAGCTACACAGCAATGCCGAGCCTCGTCTTCGTCGTCGTCGTCGTCGTCGATGTCTGCGCTGTTTGGCTTGTTTAAATTGTTCATGTTCCATCTAAGCCGACTACGGCCAGGGCCCAACTGGGCCCACTGCACAGGATCCTACCACGGCCGTCCAGCCAACTACATACAGTATTCCATGTTGACGCGCGGCTGACTGCTGACTGCTTTCATGGAATTTGCGTTCAAAAAGGGCGGCAACATCATTGTCAACCCAAGCGTCAACAGTCTTTATTTGCTTTTTTGTTCTCTTGATTTTCGTTTTATTTTATTCTTCTTTTTTCGGTTTTGGCCAAATATTTTGGTATGATCACAATGGCAAAATTTAATTGGGCGGCAACTGCAGCAAAATATGAAACATTTTTGGCTGAGATATGACGAAAGAAATACATATTTTGGGTGAAGCATTTTTGTCAACAGGAAGCACAAAGAATGCCGGGCAAGCAGAGAGTGAGAAGCCGAAAGATGTTTTTGAGATGAATCAAGTTTGCTAGTTTGAGAAAATGTCTTGAAGAAAGTGCACGCAGATATCAACAAAGGTATTGTGTGTATAAATGTTATTATTATTTTTTGTATATTTTGTTATATAAAAATATATGTATATGCATTCCAGTTCGGCTCAGCTATCAATATAGAAAATATTTATTTTATTTAAAAATATCAGTTGATATTTTGTGAAGTAAATAAAGTAAATTAGTGAAGGTATTTATAAATATATTTAAATAGGAAAGAAGTATGCTTGAAGACCTTTGTTGCTCTGGCTTCAAACTATGATATTTAGAACAAATTCTTTGTAATAATAAATGAATAAATTTTGTTTATATATTTTTATAATAATATATCTAGGTCATAGTTTTTATTTGAGAAGTAATATTTGTGATAAAAGAAGTTTTTTAACTGCAGAATACAACCTCTATTCTGAAATTTCTGTATAATTTATTTGTCTTCATAAAACAGCTTTATGAAATTGAACTTCCATAAAATAATACATTCAATATATAAATATATTTTAATTAAATTTATTTATTTTATTCATGTACGTACATATATTAATTTTTTAAAATCATTAAACTTTATTAATTTTATTTTATTGATTTATTATTTAATTTTCAGATGATTTTTAATTATTTAAAAAATTTTTTACAGCTGCTTAACTACGCATAAATTACCTAATAAAAACCGCATTAATTCTTGCTATCTATGCAGATTATTTATTGGCCTCGCTCCCAGAGGCTATTGCCATGTGTAGCCCGGTTTATGGTTGGCTTTGGCTCAGGCCACCTTAAGCCAATTAGCGCCACTAATAAAAGGCAATAAATCAGTCCAAATTAACCAAAGAGACAGCCGAGAGCAAAGTGTACAAATAAATTTGTGCACTGCACTCGGCGCATTTGTCAAGGAATTAACCCTTTGCAAAGGGCTAGAGGAGGAAATAATAAAACGGTGGAGAACAGGAAAGAAAACAACAGCTAACCAATATGAAAATGACATTAGCCAAGCGCCAGCAGACGGCGGCTAGACCGAGGCCAGACAGCGGCAGAAGCCACCAGGCGCAGGAACAGGCGCAGGCACAGCCACAGCCGCAGGAGGAGACAACGCTCGGTTCGGGCCTCTGTCTATGTCCGTGTTGGCTGTCTACACGCAAAACCACTTTTAACTCGTTTACTTTATTTATGGCCATAATTTGTTAAGCAAAAGGTCGAAAACTAAACCGACGACTGCTGACTGCTGCCCGGCGAGTGGTGGCCAAAGGGCGCAGCTCGCTCGCTAGGCAAGGTGCGATGCATAATTAAGATAATAAAATATTAATTAAAATTAAGTTCATGCATATGCAAACACAGTGACAGCGATGCCCGAACCTCCGAGCGCCAGCCAGCCCAATCCAAGTACAAATATTTGCGTTGATTAGAATGAAGCTACGATAATGCGAGCCGAGCGCCGACGTTGATAGCCTCGTTATTGGCACTGACGAGACTCGCCTTAATTAATTAATTAAAAATGCACAGAGCACAGTTTTTCCCTCCTTTTATTATTATGTTATTCTCTTTTTTTTTATGCAAATCGTTCGGCTACCTTTACACACAACAGCAACCTCGTACACCTGCCCGCCCCCATAATGAGCCAGCCGGCAAATGAGTGGAGCAGACCCAAAGGGTTTAGCTGGAATATGTGCGGCAACCAAAAGCCATGAGGGACAACAGACGTTTATAAATGTCAATCAGAGATGGGATTTAATGTTACTCTAAGGAACAAGAGGCATATTGAAATTATCATTATATTTAATATATATATTTCGGAAAAATATTAAGGAATTATTTAATAATAGTTTAAGTCCTTCAAGTTCGCTTGTGATGATGATGTGCAATAAAAGAATAGAGAAATAAAGATAATAAAAGTATTTACTTATGTAAGCCAGGTTTATAATGAAGACCATGTTGAACATATGAAAATCACAGTGAAGAGACAAGGAACAATATCTGAAAACATTATTATATGTCTTACATCATTTTTACACATTTACAGAGTCAATCTCTTTGGTTAGAGCATTTCGATATTGGCATAGAAAAAGGTCAGCAGTTGAGCTATTTTATTTCACAATATTTAATTTATTTGTGAGATATGCTGCGTCGTCTAATGGAT